ATAACCGTCATTATGTTTATTGAATCTTGATTTGTGTCAATAAACCTATTAGAGGAAGAGCCCGTGAACGCCAGACCTTCGTCATTTTATAAAGGCTGAAAGTTGGTCAGCGCATGCTCCCAACACAGATGAGAACGATGGACCATTATGAAGTTCAGGCTATGGTGGCTTTGGTTGGTACACGGTACTAAAGGTGTGTAAAATACCGATTTAAATTCGTCAAATAATAAAGTATGATTTTTTCATCCATCAAAAATAAAGTCAATTCTTAGCGCTTCAAATTTGGTGACCATTTGCAACTTTTTCTTAGAAATGCCTCCCAACTTGTTGGGAACATTTTTCATGGTGTGTTATAAATTCTATGCTAGCAGTCTTATAAATCATCTAATTATTACCCAAGTATTATATATAAAAATCAGCTTTTATACTATAACGTAAGTAGAATTATGATTTCATGAAAAGGGTGTCTGGCAAGGGTTTGCCACGATGTTAAGTGTCTGGCATTGAATGACGTGATTTTTAATAATATTCTGAAGGTAATACCAAAAAATCACACTTTATTATTTGAGGAATTTAGAGCGGTATTTTACACACCTTTAGTACCATGTACCTGCCAAAGCCACCACCATAGCCTGAACTTCATAATGATCCATCGTTCTTATCTGTGTTGGGAGCATGCGCTGACAAACTTTCAGCTTTTATAAAATGACGAAGGTCTGGCGTTCACAGGCTCTTAGGCCATATGTATTTGATAAGTTTTCGTGCTTGTCAATCGCAACTAACTAATCGGTCAACAAGCGAGTACGTAAATTTAAAAAAAAACATAACAGAGCAAGCAAGGCCGCGGATTTCTGCGGAATGACATTTATTTTAATTTTTTATTTAAAAGTATAGATTTCTGATGTTATGTCTTCATACATTTTATTTATGAAGTTTTATGATGTATATTAATGCTATAAATGGGAGCATTATCAATATTATATAAAGCTAGTAGATCAAATCTAATAGATTTTTATAATTGAATCTTGTAAATATTTTTGCAACTACAGGTGTTACTAAACCAGCCAGATTTTTTTTGCTATTACCTAATCGCCAGTATCTGGTGAAAAAATCGAGAGCCATAAGTTAAGCTATTAGCATGACAATGGCCGCGAAGCCGCAACAATTCCTGCCCATTGAGCCGACTTCGCTCGTTACAAGGAATAAATAAAGTAAGAAGACCCTTGAAGGCTGAGCATTTATACGCAGACATTTAAATACAGCAAATTCGAGAATAATGAACTTTATGATAGTAGTAATAGAGACAAAGTTGACGGTATATTGAATCGTGTCGGTTCCTGGTTTTGAAGAGAGGCGCGATGACGACGTAATTGCTTATAGGCTTTTATGTTTAGCTTTATTCGCTAGATAGTATTGTCGCGCCTCACCGATGCTCAAATAGAATTTGTTTTCTCGGATCAAGTCAACGGCGCCATTGTTGGAATTAGGGCGCCTTTGTCCGCTGAAGGGTCTATTAGCGGGCTGGCAGCAGCGAGCGGCTCTGCAGTTAACTCATAAAATTCAAGTTCCCATTAAACTTTTTCCGGCTCCCCTTTATTAAGGCGTTTTACGCTCACAATGTTAACATAAAGCGCCGCAAGAACCTAAAAGAAAAATACCGGGGGCAAAGAATCCGGCTTAGAGATGAATACTGAACGCGCCATTCTTAGGCTGCGCCAATTTCCCTCGTACCGTACTCGTCATATGTACATATAATAGAGAATTACTGAAGTCAACTAGAATATTATTGTAAAATTATATATAAAACTTGAAGTAAGATTTGTGTCAATAAAACAGTATATTTGTTGCAGTGCAGTAATAGAAAGGTATTTACTGGCCGCAGTGAACTCGCAGCACTCGAAAGCAATCGGTCCCGAGCTCACAATAAACTTTCGATATCAAAAATCGAGTGTCGAATGCGGCCGCCTCGACAAATTGCCCTCATAAAGCGACTTGCCGCTGCCCGCGACTTTATGACGACTCGCTCTGATAGTGCTCCAACTTCGGGAAATAAACTCGCTGGTTCGAGGGCGCCTGCAACTTATACGAGCGTTTATGTTCATTCCGCAATTTATTTCATTCAGCTCTAGCTTAAACAATACAGACTGCGCGAATTGCAAATTTGTACAAGTCCAGCGGCTGCGCTCGGCGCCGGCGGCGGCTTGGCTTCGTTATGATTCAACTTTCGTAAGTCAAGCTAAAAGTTTGTATTTAAGTATTGTAAATAATACACTTTCCTACAGAATAGCATTACTCGTGTGTATTCTTAATAAGTCTTATCAAGTGTAGACTGATTAAAGTAGATATTCTAATATTCTAATAAAAACCAACAAGATAGGAAACTATCTTTTTTCTCATTCATATAGATTTTTTGATTCTACCTATAAGGTTCGGAAAAATAATAAGATTATTTAATACGATAATCTTATAAATGTGTTTACCCTCCTTCCTCTCTTTGACCACGAAAACTGGTAGAATATAAGGAGTGGGCGGCAGATTTATTGTTGGCTTTGTGACGCGACGCGCAACGGCTCATCTGGGTAATGTATTTGCGACCGACGAAATTGTTGTCATTCTTATGTAAGCGCAAAAAATATCTGTGAATCAAGTTAGTGCATACCGGTTGTACGATACATGTAATTATAATTCGTGAACTCAAGATAAACAGTATCTTAGATTGACGTGACTAGTTGACATTTTAAAATAAATTCACATATCGGATTATTTCGCGGATTTATTTGAATTTTTGGTTCCTAAATTAAAATTATTGCTACTATAACTAGCTACTCTAGCGATCTTTATCCGAGGAATCTCCAAGCGACCCTCGTTTGGGTCGCTCGAAAATTTCTCAGATATGAGAATTTTCTCGCAGTTAAGAGTATCCTATATGTTGACCCGAATAACCAGCTATCATCATACCAAATTTCATCAAAATCCTTCCAGTAGTTTTTTCGTGATGCGGTCACAGACGGACAGATAAAAATTCTAATAACTGGATTCGGTCTTTGTATCGATAATAATGTCTATTTCAATAAGATTTTCCAAAAAATATTTAATGTACAGATTCGGTTTAGTTACAATTTTATTTTATGTTGAATTATGTTGAATTTAAAATAAAATTTTAAGGGTGTTTTTACAGGATGACTATCAATGTTTTTATTTTTGCAAAAAATTGAGTTCAAGACGAAAAGAATGAACCCTATCTGAAAATTGAACGAATTTTTTATTAAATGTAAACGCCCACTTGAAGTTGTGGGTGATTTTCAGCCTTTCGAGACCATAAAACATATTTTTCTCGGAAATGGCTAAACATTTCGATTTCAATTTTTTTTTAATTTATTATATGTATTTTGAAGATTACATTCCCTTTGTTTCATAAAAATCAAAAGATTATTTTAGAAATTAAAAATAAAAAACCAAGAAACAGTTAAAAATCAAATTTCTGCAAATATCTCGAAAACTTTGAGGTTATTGTAAAAAGGGTTATTTATAAAAGTTGTAGATTTCTACTAGACCTACAACTTTTGTTGAAAACATTTTTTGATAGAAAGTCACAGTAAGCTGGAAATTGAAAAAAAAAAAACAATTTTTAAGGCTCGGGGGCATTTCTCGGGGGTAGCTGGGCATTAGGAGCATTTTACGAATTTTTATTCCTTATATACCTGATAACATATTAAAATCATAAAACTCTAGGTTTTCAATACAAAAAACTCTTAAAAATTAACGGATTCCGATTGGTCTAATAGTGTATTTTTTTGCGTGTACTTAGGAGAGTCTTCTAATACATAAGTAGGTACAAACTATAATAAGCTACCTACGTAGAAAACTGATTATTATTAAAAACAAAATCAAAAGTATACCATAAAATTTTGTAGATTGAAAACAACTAAATAAGAATATAATTTTAATATTTGATGTCGAAGCGAACTACGTACTGATATTTATTATTTCGCTAAAGTTTCCGTCAATAGTCCATTATGAAGTAGTGGCGAGTGACAGTAACGATGCGTGAAACTGTTACTTATACAAAGCAGGCTCTACATCAGAGACCGCAAGAATTCTTGGAGCGGCGGAATTACACGCAAATTGAATCTCAGGATTCTTTGCCGACCCTCTTCACTGTTTAATACTGCAAGATACAAGGATCCGGCTGTATTATCATACAGTTCATAAAATACCTATATGTAAACATATAGAAAGAAGAGAAGAAATATAAAAAAATATGTTGTTGCATTAACAACATTAATTAAAATGGAGAAGGTTCCATCGGGTTTCAGTGGAAACTACTGGCTAGCCAGTGAGTCAGCACATCATTGCTTGTTGTAAAGAATAAATAAAAAGTCCATATTGGTAATAAAGTCAAAAGGTGATCCTATAAATAACAGGTGGTCAGATGGTCCTGGCAATTTTATTTTTGAATATACGTAAATTGAGAATTATTTTTAAAAATACCTAAATATTTTTAATTTTTGTTCTTGCAAAAAGAAACAGTATTTTATGACGAGATTATAACAATTATACATTGACTTCTGTAAAAAACTGTCACCTATACATATAATAAAATTGTAACTAAGCCGAAACTATACATTAAATATTTTTTGGAAAATCTTATTGAAATAAACATTATTATCGGTACAGAGGCCGAAACTATAGTTTTTAGAATTTTTGTCTGTCTGTCTGTCTGTTACCGCATCACAGAAAAACCATTGGAGGCATTTTGATGAAATTCGATATGGTGATAGCTGGTTATCCTGGTCAACATATAAGATACTTTTTACCGCGGGAAAATATCTCATTTCTGAGAAAAAAATACAGAAACTGCAATTTAAAAGTATACTAATATGTAAAACCTAAGAATTTAGTTTTTGGTCATCTGAACGCGGGTGGAGCCGCGGGCAATGCTAGTTCTAAATATATGAATACTTTTTTCAGACAATTTTTTATAGATCTATTTTGTAGTAATGACGTCCAATAAAACAAGGCGATGTTTTCGTAGTGCAAGCTCTCGGAATCCTTTCCGGTCCGAGCACCGGCGGCAAAGCAGCGGCAATTCAATTCTTTTGTGTCAAAGCGGAAAAGTACTCGCTAAAGTACATAGTCGTGGAGCTATTGGACGCATAGTGACCGGTAAGATATTGTTATAACTCTGTTATACTTGTTAACACCCATAAGTCTCTACGTTTTATTTTAGTACACAGATTTTATATAAATATTATTTGTAAAGCTTTTTAGGGGTAGCAATTATAATAATCGTGTCATATAATTCTTCGCTCTCTTAGGCAGTCCATGATTTTATTATTATATAGCTAAGACTATAAAGTCTTATAAACGGGTTACCTAATGCAAAATGATTTTTTTAAAAGAAGACAAACTTTGAAATTACTAATCTTATTATGAAGATTCTGTCACTTACTATTATCTCTGAATAACATGGGTTTTCAGGCGGCGCGGCGCTACCCGAAAGAGCTAAAGAGCTACGTGCAGGAGTGGACGAATATAGGCTATATATCCATTAACAATCATAAGCTTAATGCAAAAAAATACAAAACATCAAGCTGAATGTACGAATAGTGTAACTACAGTGAGATAATTAAAGATTATAACTACTTCTATTGTGGAAACAAAGTAACACAACTATAACACAGGTGATTGGCGACATAGACTTGACATTTTTTACTTAATAGTACGTGTTATAAAGTAACAAACGTGACCACGTACTATTTAAAACATAAATGAACACTCAATTAAGCTTTTACGGTAGTTGTAAACGATAGGTTTATGCATATTATGAGGAGGTAATGTGACACTTGTGACTCGGTAAAGTTTTGTATTTTTCATTTGGTGCCTCTCGAGTAACAAAGCGCAGCTGCTCTGCAACGAAATGCTCTGATTTTTAAGTATTCATGTGACGTACAAGCACACAAGTCCGGGTATAGTATTGTTCAAGCACATACATTTGCATACAGGTGACATCGTGTAAGATCTTTGTTCAGTCGATATGCGGGCCAAGCGCGCTCGTGCTGACGCTCGTTTTAAAAATATTCTACTATACTGGCTTTGGGTGGAAGGCTTCGTGATAGCTGCGCTCATCATACAACTACCTGTCTTTATAGCAGGTTAAAGATTTAACATTAAATATTTTTTGGAAAAACTGTTTGATTTGCCATCTTAGATTTTATGTATACCGATATGCTGATATGACTTATAGAATAAAAACTTAAAAAAAACCGACTTCAAACAAAAGCCCTAAAAAGTAAAAAATAACTGATCGGTAGTTTTCATTTACTATACATACCTAATCAAATATTTTCGAAGTCTATTCGTATTCTATATGTTGACCCGGATAATCAGCTATCACCATACCAAGATTTATTAAAATCCCTCCAGTGGTTTTTGTGTGATGCGGTAACAGACAGATAGACAAAAATTCTAAATACTATTGATTCGGCCTCTGTACCGAAAGTAATGTCTATTTTAATAAGATTTTCCAAAAAATATTTAATGTACAGATTCGGCTTAGTTACAATTTTATTATATGTATAGATAACCATAAAGAATATTAAAAAATATTAATTATTTATCTAAGCAATATTATTGTTTTATATCTAATAAAAGAGAAGTTAAAATATTAATTTAGATTGCTATTATTTAAAGTTAAAATATTGAGCAACACTATTGCTACCTTTATAGAAAAAAATTAAATATAAAAAATATAAAAAAATATTAATCAGAACCTACTGTTATTATTGAGATCCACATAGTATGAACTACGTCTACTGGTCTGATAAATTTGTTTTTGTTATTAGATTTTATTATGTTTATTACAGGATCCCAAGATGATGGTAGTACCCAGCCTTCTTCTATTCTTATCTTCCCTATTGAAGTTTTGATATTTTTTAATTTCAATAGCTTCGCGAATCATCTTGGGACGATAACGGTAGAAAGAGAACTTTTGCGAGTATTTCTTTGTGCTTGCATCGAAACGTTGGGAACCAAAAATCAAAATATATCCGCGAAATAATCCGAAAACACAGTTTTATTTAAAACCCTAACTAGTCCTTAGGGAAGCCCAGTTAGGGGATCAGCGACCGTTAGTGGCAGCTATTCTGGCGTCTTAGCGGTCCAGGAGGTCCCGGAGGGGCGCGTACCTGTCCGGTGCCTACCAGGGAGCTATGTCCCTGATGGGAGTGTGGTCCGATTCGTCCGGGGTCATGATCATCGAATTTTACCGGTTGAATAGCCGGACGATAACGTCCCCCATACCACGACTAGTTGAACACACATCGGGGGGAATACGTAAGGTACGTAACATATTTATAATGTCTGCTAGATTATAAAAAAATGGAAGCCTTAAGTCATAGTTTTAAATATTTCACAGGCTAGCCGCCCGTAGTTGTATTTGCGTAAAAATTAGAAGCAGCGTAATTCTTACCCGACATCACTTTGCTTTAGCAAAAGTCCTGTTCAGATCAGTTTTGTAAATACGCAATTTATTTAATGTATTTTAAAATCACAGACTGAAACTTCAATTTTATTTGCAAGTAAGATATAGTAGATACATAAACCATTAAGTGAGACCACAATAAACAATAATAGTTGTTATATTTGGCTTCCCCATTACGTGTTGACAGAGCACTGTGCAGGTGCACTGTCTGTTTGAACGTATTCGAGATGTTTGAGACGCGGTGTGAGAGGGCAAATATTGTACTGGGTGCTTCGACACGTAAATTGCACACTTTTTATCAAAAACACCTTTCTTCAATCTTTGTTTTCATCTAACTCGAGGCTATAATAATGTGCAACAATATTATATGAATATAATGTGCATGAATGTTACGTCTATCATACCTATGTATGTTTTATGTACCTACGTCTTTAAATTGTAATAAGTGGCAAAGATTTGCTATGTTGGTGAAAGAAAAACTTACTTTTGTAGTAATAAATAATTAGCAAAGTTTTGGTACAAGTGTTTTAGGATTTTTTTGGTTTTCTATATTATTATTATAAAGAGGAAAGATTTTGTTTGTTTGTACCAAATAAGATCCGGAACTACTGAACCAATTTTAACCATTTTTTCACCAATAGAAAGCTAAATTATCAGGAAGTAACATAGGCTATAATTTATTTTCAAAAAAATTAAGATCCTTAAGAAAATCGCAATGTAACCCAAAGTAGCAAAATTTTGCCTATAAAATTCATTATTTGGCGTGCACTGAGAAATCTATTGATGATACATAAACATAATAAAAATGATGTACTACATGATTAATAGTCCAATCGGAATCCAGTTATTCATTCTGTATTCAGATATGTTTTTACATTTTTTATTATTTTTTAACAAAACTATGACAAAATTTTGTAAATATTAAACTTAATTTTTTTAAATATATTTTAACTAATGAATAAACAAGATTAAACTATGAAGGAATTTCATTTCTTTCTGTAATTACCTTAAAATCATTTTTTTTCAGAAAAATCTATAAAATCAACTCCAAAATCGATCAAAAACTAATAAAATATCGATAAATTCGAAAAAATATATAACATAAATAGATTCTACGGCAAAAAAAATACAAAACCACAGGTGCATTTTACGTGTATTCCAACTTTTATTATTTTTTCACAAATCACCAAATTGAAAAGATGGAATGTTTACGGCGACATTGCATAAATAATAAGCGTCAAATTAAAAACTTAAGGACACCATTTTTTTCCTTTTTTCCTGAAAAATATAATAGTGTAATCTGTTTATAAAAATTTGGTCAATAAAATATTATTATATAATTCAATGATAATTGAAAAAAGTTTTTATATTTTCAAAAAGTAGAGCTTAAGACGAAAAGAATGAGCCCTCTCTAAAAATTGAATGACTTTTTTTAAATGTAAACCCTCACTCGATGGGCTGAATTCAACTGAAGTTGGGGGTGATTTTCAGCCCATCGAGACCATAAACATACTTTTCTCGGAAATTTTTATTTATTTATTATATGTATTTCGAAGATTATATTCCCTTAGTTTCATGGAAACCAAAAGATTACTCTAGAAATTAGAAATAAAAAACCAAGAAACAGTTAAAAACCGAGATTTTTGCAAATATCTCGAAAACTTTGAACTTTATAAAAGTTGTAGATTTGTACTAGACCTACAACTTTTGTAGAAAACATTTTTCGATTGAACATCACAGTAAGCCAGAAATTGAAAAAAACTATTTTTCAACGCTTTGCGTCCCCCTATTTCTCGGGGGTAGCTGGGCATGTGGGGCATTTTACGAATTTCTATTCCTTATATACCTGGTAACATTTTAAAATCATCAAACTTCAGGTTATCAATAAAAAAAAATCTCTTAAAAAGAAACGGATTCTGATTGGTCTATAAAGTACTCATCCTACTAATATTATAAATACGAAAGTTTGTGAGGATGTATTAATGTCTGAATGTATACATGTATGGATGGATGTTTGTTACTCTTTCACGCAAAAACTAATCGATTTTAATAAAACTTTATAATAAAACAATCTTGTGTTTTCATATACTTAATGATAAACAATGAACTATTTACAGTTAGCATTATTTATTATTATAAAGTCCATTTTACTCCATTCCACTGGTCCATTTAACTGGTACGATTGTGGACATAGATTCAGTCATGATAGTTGGTGATTTTAATATGAGTGGAATATCATGGGTAATGAACAATACAGATACACACAGTGTTCCTAATAATTATAATAATCAACTTGGCTATGCATTGATAGACTTTATGTCTTCAAATAACTTATTGCAATATAATACAATTTATAATGATCACAATAAAATCCTTGATTTAGTATTAGCAAATTTCTCTGATCCAATTTCAGTAATTAGGTCGGAAGAGATATTATCTAAGGTAGATAAGTATCATCCTCAACTACTTATACAAATTAGAATTAGCTCTCTTAAGTTGTTATCATCAACAGTGAGTTCAAGATATAAATATTTTAAGGCTGATTATCAAAAAATTGAAGCATATCTGGTCAATGTAGATTGGGAGATTGAATTTACAAAATATGAGACAGTGGACCAACAACTTGATAAATTCTATGAAATTATGTTTAAAGTTATAAAAGAATTTGTCCCAATTCAACAAAATTTTAAAAGAAAATATCCTATCTGGTTCAGTTTTTCTTGATTAAAATTCTAAAGGAAAAAGAGAAACTTAGAATAAAAGCCAAAGTATTTAATAATGATCTTGATAGATATGAATACGAACTATTAAAAGAAAGAACCAAGAAAAAGATGAATACAGATTATTCTGCTTATATTGAGAATGTGCAATTTAATATATGTAGAAATTTTAAAAATTTCTGGTTTTATGTTAAAAATAAATATCGAAATAATGGCAGTATACCACAAAAAATGAAGTTAGAAAGTCAAACTGCTGAGGATGGGGTGTCTATAGCGAATTTATTTGCAGACAACTTTGCTGCTGTCTATAATCCTTCATCTTTTAAAAACTTAGAAAATTTAACTCAAATGCAAAATAATAATCATAATTGTTTAGGTTCTATTCATTTATCTGAAAAGTCTATTGAAACATCACTCAAAAAACTAAATGTAAATAAAGGTGCAGGGGAGGACGATATTCATCCAGTATTTTTTAAAAGGTGTGCTACAATTCTATGTAAGCCTTTATATATTATTTATAATAAATCTCTTCAAGACGGTGATTTTCCTAGAATTTGGAAAAAAGCAAAAGTAATACCAATACCAAAATCAGGTGATAAATCAAATGTAAAAAACTATCGTCCTATAAGTATACTTTGTGTTCTTGGTAAAGTATTCGAATCGCTATTATGTCCAATTTTGACATGGCATGTGAAGCAGATGATTACTGAACATCAACATGTATTTTTTAAAAATCGTTCCACTATAACTAACTTAGCTGTTTTTATGGAAAACACAATTGAAGCTCTTAGCTCAGGTAAAGAGGTCGATGTTGTCTATTGTGACTTTAAAAAAGCTTTCGACAAAGTAGATCACAATATACTTATTAAAAAGCTCCATGAACATTTTGGAATCTTTGGGTCACTCTTGCAATGGTTTCAATCATATTTGAATGGAAGAACTATGACAGTAAAT